CTGCTATTGATTATAGTTTTATTCTATTGTGCTTTATATGATTTAAATCTTTAAACAAGCAACCAAAATATAACTGGAGACATTGAAAAAAAGAATGAACTGACAGTGACCATATGGGAAAGGGGAGGGAGATCATGGGGGAAAATAGGGGAAGGATTTTCAAGGAGCACGTATAAAGGACACATGGACAAAACCAATGGGGGTAGGATTGAGGGTGGGAGGTAGGGATGGGTGGGGAGAAAATGGTGACAACTGTACTTGAACAATAATTTTTAAAAGTGTTAAAAAAGAAACAAATAAAAAAATTTTAAAAAACCACTTTTTTTGTGACCTAACATAATGATCTTTCCTTGAAAATGTTCTAGTCTGGACTGCATGAACTCAGCAAGAGGTAAAAGTCACAGTGACAGAAGTGAGCCAAGGTTGGGGGTTGTGGAGTGCTGTAGTTACCTCTCTGGTAAGAGAGAGAAAACGAGGGCTTTGGAGACAGGTTCAGGGGTAAGCCCAGGATGAACTGCTGCTCCCCTGGTTGGAAGTCTCGTGGGTGTGCTCTTGAGAGGACAGACATGCTGTGAGTCTTTTGTCTCAAGGCTTTTTATCTTTCTTTAGCCAGCGGGAATCCTAGCTAGGGGTCTGAGAAGGGGGTCTGAACAAAATATTTATTATCTTTTCAGGTATGTCCTTCAATATGTTGATTCATCAAAATGTATCTATAGAGGGGTCAGGGTTATTTTCTAGTTGGTTTCCTTTTTAAAGGGTGTCATTGAAGATAAACTGGGACAGAGGCCAGACTGTCCTGGGATTGTTTTGAATGTGTACAGCATCGGCTCCTGAGTGTTCTAGGTTAGAAAAGATAAAGCCTCGTAATTCATTAGCTGGCTATAAATCGCTCAAATTGTCTGGGCGTGTTTAATTTTTTGTCTTAGTTTTCCTTATTCCACTTGTTAAGGACTGTTTTGAGTTTTTTTACCATCCTGCCTTATTTACTTTTTGTTATACTGTCTATTCACATAGATTTGTATTTTTTAATGCATCTGTCTCTTTAAAAGTGTAGAAAATACAGGTGGAATTACAAGCCCAAACTACTGGTTTTACTTACCCATATATTTCCTTTTCCCAGAAATCTTTATATTTTATATGTTTTCTATTTGCTGTCTATTGTGTTTTAACCCAAAGGATTCCCTTAAGAGTTTCTTGTAAGGCAGGTCTAGTAGTAATAAAACCTTCAACCTTTGTTAATCTGGGAATGTCTTAATTTCTACTTCATTTTGAAGGACAGTTGTTGGTTATAGATTCTGGACTGATCTCTTTTTCCTTATAAGTACTACATGCTAACCGATTGTGCCACTGGGGCTCCTGATTTCTTTTTCCTTTTAGCACTTAAATATATAATTCTACTGCCTCTGACTTCCAAGGTTGTTTGCTGAGAAATTGTCTAATAATGTATTGTATGTGACAATTTTCTTCTCTTTTGTTGCTATCAAGATACTCCATAGATTTATCCTACTTGAAGTTGCTAAGTTTCTTGCATTTGTACATCATGTCTTTCATCACATTGGAGTTCTTCTTTTTTTCTTTTAAAAATAGGTTTCATTTATTTATTTTTAGAGAGACAAGATGGGGAGGAGAAAAACAGGAGGAGAAACATCAATGTGTAGTTGCCTCTTGCATGCCCCCTACTGGGGACCTGGCCTGCAATCCAGGTGTGTGCCCTGACTGGGAATCTAAGCAGCTACCCTTTGGTTCTCAGGCCTTCATTCAATCCACTGAGCCACACCAGCCAGGGCCACAATAGAATTATTTTAGCCATTACTTCTCTAAGCAATCTCTCTGCCACCATATTTTTTTTGTGACTCACATAATGCATATATCAGTCTGTTTTTAGTGTCCTACATATTTCTCAGTCTTGTGCATTTTTTTTCATTCTTCCTTCTGCTTCTGAGACTTGGTAATTTCATATGTCCTATTTTCAAGTTTGCTGATTTTTTATTCATCTGATCATGTGTGATGCTGAAGCCCTCTAGAAAAAAATTTTCAATCATTTATTGTATATTCCAGTTTCAAAATTTGTTTAGTTTATTTTTAGAACTTCTATCAGTTGATAAAATAATTTTGTTTACATATTTTCTTTAGTTCTTTGTGCTTTTCTTTAGCTTTTTGAGCATATTGAATATAGCTATTTTGAAGTTTTTGCCTAGTACATTCAATGATTGTGTTTCTTCAGGGACGCTTTCTGCCACTGGTTTTCCTTCTTTTGTATTGTGGGTTGTATTTTCTTGTTTCTTTGTATGCCTTGTGATTTTATTGTTGTTGAAAATTGGGCATTTCTAAAAACAACCACCTTTTCAAGTTCTTTGCACACTGACTTTGTGCTGAGAAAGTCCCACACTAATTAGTGGGCATTGGTTTTGGGCCTTCATGTTATCTTCAGGATAAACCTTAAAGTCTTTTAGGACTTTTATTAACATGCATCTTCTCTGGGCTTGTGTGTGGCTGTTTTAATTTTTCCATTTACATACTGACTTTAATTTTTTATCTTTATTTGAGAACATGCTTATTGATTTTAGAGAGAGGGGAAGGGAGGGAGAGAGAAAGGGAGAAAAACATTGATGTGAGAGAATAATATTGATTGGTTGCCTCTCATACATGCCCTGTCTGGGGATTGAACCCACAACCTAGGCACATGGCCTGACTGGGAATCGAATCCATGACCTTTTGGTTTACAGATTGATAATCCAACCAACTGAGCCTCACTGGCCAGGGTCATACTGCTCTTAAATGTCTTAATTCCCAGAATAATCTCTCCTTGAGGGCTTTGGTGGTCTATTTTTGTATCTACTCTAAAAATGAAAATTTATGTTTCTCCCCTCAATAGTTTATTTATTTAGTTAGTTAGTTTATTCTTAACAGTTCACTTTGGTCAGTACATGTGTGGTCATTTTCCTGCACTAAATGGTTCTGACACTAAATGCCTGGGTTTAGCACATACTCCACCAGTTAAGGACTCTGTCCCCCCAAACTGCCCCATTTTAGATGCCAGACACAAGTGCAGGTTGTCATTTATACTTCTGTATGATTGACTATAAAGGTTCCCATGTCCTCCCCCTCAAGTTTAATAATTTAACAAAATGGATGAGAGAAGTCAGAAAAAACTTGCTTACTAGATTATGGGTTTATTTTGAAAAAGGATAAAATTCAGGAACAGCCAGATGGAGGAGCTTCGGAAGGCAAGGTTCGGGGCAGGGGTGTGAAACTTCCATGCTCGGTGTTCTCTCTGGGTCTGCCACCCTCTGAGGGTCCCCACGTGTTCACCAGCCCGGAAGCTCTCTGGACAACTTCAGTTAGGGTTTCTTATGAAGGCTTCATTCAATAGACATAATTGAATGAATTATTGGCCATTGGCGATTACCTCAGCCTCTAATCCCTCCTATGTCCCCAGAGGACAGGCCGTGTGAGGTTGAAAGTACAACTCTAATCACATGCTTGGCTCCCATAGAAACTGGCCTCCATTCTGTGATTACTTAGGAGCTTTCCAAAATCATCTCATTAATGTAAATTTAAGTGGGATTGAAAGGGGCTTGTTATAAATAGCAAAAAACTGTCATGTCTTGGTACTTATCAGTTCTGGCACTAGTCACGAGTTCTGGAACAAACTAACAATGAATACCAAGGTACCACTGTTGTCTCTTTTCACCTTTATAGCCCTGAATTTCTTTTGAGACTTGAGGACAAAAGAGCAAATATTAGAAAAAAATACTCCCATCATTTTCATCCCTTACAAAATTACAAGGGTTTATGAGCTGTGCCAGCAACAAGAAGGAAGACAAAATACATATTTTTATTATAAGTCACAGTATCATATATTTATAATGACTTGCTACAGGTTTCTGCAGTTGTGCTTCTCTGCAGTTTTCCCAAGTTGCACCCACTGTTTTTCCCTTACTGAGATCCAAATAAGGCAAAAGTGACAAGTTTTCTGGAAGCCCTGCTAAGTTAGAAGAGTGTAAGCAAATTCCTTTCTGCTCCATTCAGTTTGAAGGAGGGAATTGGGAATGAGCTGTTGCCTTAGATGGTCTATTTTATGTCTTCACTCATAATCCCTTGGCCTACGCTTTTGTGGGTCAGTTTAGCTGCAGATTTTCTCAGCAATGCTCACTACTTCTTTCCATCTGAGATATAAGCTATGCCACTACCTCCTCATCCGTGGCCCTTTTGAAATTCATGTGAGGTGAAACAAAGACTTGAAGAGGTAGCTCCCAAACAAGTTAGAACATTGCAAGTAAGGTCTTCACTATTCCCTCTGATCGAGGGAGAGAATTGAATACTGGGTAGTTACCTCCTGCAAACAAAGTGTAATACCACACTGGGGAGTATGTGGGCGAAGGGCAAGCATAAACATCATAGAATTTCCAGCCATTTTGAATGTGGCTTTTTTTGATTGGGTGTTTACTTGGTTACTTTAGGCTTCTGACTATTTTTCAGAAATGCTATAAAGTTATTTTAGTCAGCTTTTGACTTTTTTTGATGTCTCCATGGGAAAGAAGGACTTAAAACTTTCTAGTCTGCCATTTTGTTTGATTGTCTAGGTTTTAATCCTGGCTCTATAACTTACTTACTCAGCCTTTGTGAGACTCATTTATCTCATTGGAAAATGGTTATAATAATTTTTAACTTTCAGGTTCTTGTAAGTACCAATGAGGCCAGGTATGTAAGGTATATATCTCAGAGCTTGGTATATTGTAGGCCCTCAGTGTATGGTAATAATCATTTGAATTTGATTATACTATGGAAGTGGAACTTTGGAAAGTGATAATACCCTGTATATCATCATTAACATCATCAGAGATTTGGGGGGATGATGGAGCAAGCTGTCTATAGTCTGCTATTCAAGGTTACATTTGGTCCCATAGAAAGGACAGAAGTCTCACTCAGTCCTACATTGATGGGTGCTTTGCATAACTCTGAGTCAGAGAATAAATTTGCAATCTTATCTCTACCAGGAGTCTATTCTAGGTTGGGAGGTTGCCTTGATGTCTGGATCCAACATGAGAGCTCCCGTTTGTCTGGTGGAAAACATCAGTGAGCGGCTCTCAGTGAATCAGGAAGCTCTACAGATTCTTGACCAGATTTCTCAGCCAGTGGTGGTCGTGGCCATTGTGGGACTGTATCGCACAGGCAAATCCTACTTGATGAACTGTCTCGCAGGACAGAACCATGGTGAGTGTCGTTTTAGGCAGAGGACAATTTTTTTTCTTAGTTTTCTTCACTGGTCACATGAAAAAGAACTAAACTCCTTTCAATAATCCAAACTTCTAATTCTAATTCTTACAGATAAATAGCTACCTTACCGCAACCTGTTACCATATTTCTTGTTTTATTCCTACTAAGGACATCTTTCCTACTAATGCTCAGGTTCCTACATTCTTTTATCTGTGTAAGCACTGGGCCCTTGCAGTTGTGTCTCTGTTGTCTCACGGCATGTTTTGCTTTCTTTGTAGAATATTTCCACCAACACATAGAGATGTTTGAATATCTGTTATCTTAAAAGTCCTTTGTGAGTTCCCATTCCATTGTGGCCACTAGCCCCACACTTTTTATCACTTTGCATGGCAAAAAAAAATTTCTCAGTTTTCTTTTTTCCATTTTCCTTTCCACTGTCTCTCTTTAATTCATTTTTCCCCTGACTTTGAACATCGACATTCGTTTTAAATGTTCCTGTTCTGGTTATCAGTGGCCTCTCTTTTGTCTGGTTCATGTATACCTCTTTGTCTCCATCTGGATCTCTGGCTGGGCAACATTCTCACAGTTAACATCTCTTTCTTCTTGACTTAGGAAGTAGGAAATTCTTCAGAAATAGAGAAAGCAACACCCTGTATGCTGAGATACTTACATTTTAACAAGTTTTATAATGTAGCTCCTTGACTGGGTAGGTTATCTGCTGTCACATATGTTGCTTTTTCATGTTCCTTGCAGGTTTCCCTCTGGGCTCTACGGTGCAGTCTGAAACCAAGGGCATCTGGATGTGGTGTGTGCCCCACCCCTCCAAGCCTAACCACACTCTGGTCCTGCTGGACACTGAGGGCCTGGGAGATGTAGAAAAGGCAAGTCATAGAGTCACAGATATATCCTTTTCCATCTTATTTTTTCCTTACTTCTATATGATATTTGGTAATTTAACTGCTGTGACTTATTTGTGAATTCTAGAAATCCAGCTATAGTAAACAAGACAAACTTTCGTTTGTTCGACTTTTATTTCTAGGTAAAGTATCACATATACTGGGTCACTTTTTTCATTATTTCTTGGCAGTGGGTAAATGATTTGATTCAATCTAATAAGCATTATTAAACACTTGATTTCTAGGTATCTGGGATTAGTACTGTAAATATTATTGCCCAAAGTATAAGTCCTGACCCCCAAAAGTCTGCAGTCATACGGTGAAGTTCCTCAAGTACTCACGGACCATTTTTCAAGGCTTTGACACACTTCTAAATGAGCTGGTTCTATGAAAGCATGTGTTTGTCCTACAACAAATATTTTAGGATAAATTTTTGATATCGTAGTTTTATACTAAGAGGTGAAAGAAATGATTTCTTCATTTTTGGCTTCCTTTGAGACTTATGGAATGTAGTATCTAAATTTCTATACTGGTCTATTTCTACTGAAAGAGGAGTTAGAAATTCTGTGTTCATTTTTAAAGTTATATATCATACAAAACTATATAGGCTTGGTATCTAAATACTATATTGCTTGTTACCAGTGCCATTTCATCTTATCTTTTTTCCCAGTTATTTTATTTTATTTTTAAAATATATTTTATTACTTATGCCATTACAATTGTTCTATTTCCCCCTTTATTCCCCTCCACCCTGCACACCCCTCCCCCACCATTCCTCCCCTTTAGTTTATGACCACGAGTCTCAAGTTCTTTAGATTCTATATTTCCCCTACTATTCTTACCCTCCCCCCTATCTATTTTCTACCTACCATCTATGATACTTATTTTCTGTACCTTCTCCCCCCTTCTCCTTCTCCCACTCCCCTGTTGCTAACCCTCCATGTGATCTTCATTTCTATAGTTCTGCTCCTGATCTAGCTGTCCTCTTAGTTTGCTTTTGTTTTAGGTGTGGTTCTTAATAACTGAGTTTGCTGTCCTTTCACTGTTCATCTTTTTTATCTTCTTTTTCTTAGGTAAACCCCTTTAACATTTCATATAATAAGGGCTTGGTGATGATGAACTTCTTGAATTTGATCTTATCTGAGAAGCACTTTATCTGCCCTTCCATTCTAAATGAAAGCTTTGCTGGATAGATCAATCTTGGATGTAGGTCTTTGGATTTCATGACATGGAATACTTCTTTCCAGCCCCTTCTTGCCTGTAAGAAATCATCTTGCCTTTTGAGAAATCATCTGACAGTCTGATGGGAACTCCTTTGTAAGTGACTGTCCCCTTATCTCTTGCTGCTTCTAGGATTCTCTCCTTCATTTTAATCTTGGCTAATGTAATGATGATGTGTCTTGGTATGTTCCTTCTTGGGTCCAACTTCTTTGGGACTCTTTGAGCTTCCTGGATTTCCTGGAAGTCTATTGCCTTTGCCAGATTGGGGAAGTTCTCCTTTATTATTTTTTCAAATAAGTTTTCCACTCGTGGCTGTTCCTCTTCCCCTTCTGGTACCCCTATAATTCGGATGTTGGAGCGTTTAAAGGTATACTGAATGTTCCTAAGCCTCTCCTCATTTTTTTTTAAATTCTTGTTTCTTCATCCTTTTCTGTTTGGTCATTTTTTCCCTCTTTCTGGTCCACTCCTTTGATCTGAGTCCCAGTTTCCTTTCCATTACTATTGGTTTTCTGTGCAATTCCCTTCATTTCAATTATTTAGCCTTCATATGTTCCTCTAATATGTGACTAAAATCAACCAGTTCTGTGAGCATCTTGATCGCCAGTGTTTTGAACTGTGCATCTGAAAGTTTGGCTATTTCTTCATTGCTTAGATTTATGGACTCTGGGGCTCTGAGTTGTTCTTGAGCCATGTTTTGATCTGTTTGTGCCTGTTACATATGAGGAGCGGAGCCTTACTTGTTCACCAGGGTAGGGCCACCCAGGTCGCTGGTTTGTGATGCTGTATGTGGGGGTGGGGTCAGAGAGGGACAATGGTGGTTTCCTCTGCCGCTTTCTGCCGCTGGGGCTTGTGCGGTCCATCTCACCACCGCTAGCTCCTTCACTGGTTTATCTGCGTGCGAATGTGTGACCGTGGTCAGCCCTCAGTGGGTCCACCTGCTTCTCCACACCTGGGATCCGCCCACGGCTGCTGGCGCACCTGGGTCGCAGCCTGGGTCAGTCCAGTGGATATTTCCTGCCTGACCCAGCTCTGTTGCTGGCTCTACCCCTCCTAGCGGTTTGGCTGAAGGGTTCGTTGTTGTCAGACTTCTGTGTAGTTCAATTTTCTGTGGTTTGGCTGTGTTTTTGTTGCTAAAATTTTGCTGTTTTTAAACTTGGTTGTGTGAGAAGGTGCAGTGCTTCCACCTACGCCTCCATTTTGGTGGAAGTCTCATCTTATCTTAATTGATTATTTTTGAAAGATGGTGGTCAGGGACATAAATTAATTAATAGGTTATTTTGCCTCCAAACTCCTGTATTGAGTCTTTTAGTTATAAAACCCAGTTTTTACATTTACTCTAGGGAATATCTTTTGATAGCATTTACAAATCAAATAATTTCTGGATTATGCCATTACATGACAATATTATAATTTCTGCAAAAAAAATTAGCCTGGCCTTGAAGACCCTCCATCTGGCTGCACTAGGGTCACTATCCAGCCTTAACTTCTGACCCTAACCTCTGGTTCAGTCAAATCAAATAATGGAAAAACACATGTATCTGGCTATTTCTAATTTCACTTCCATGAATCTTTCTATATGTGGGATCGCCTTTATTTCTTTAAGCCCATATTTTAATAATTCTTAAAGACTCGGATCAAAACTTTGATGATGACTTCATATTATGTACTCATTTCCAGCATTAAGACCTCTATTCTTTCTTGATGGATATCTGAATTTCGATTTAATATTACAGCTATGGGTTTCACTGCTTATATACATTATAAAGATGTAAACCTCTTATAAATATTGTCATCCTTGTTGCATTCATTGTTATGGATATTTGTCACAATTTTGAAACAGTCATCATAAAAGAAATAATTGACATTTTAAACTTAAAAATAGTGGGAGACATTGAGTACCTTCCCATAAACATTTGTTGAATTTAATTGGACACAATTTGAATCCCTGGTTATATCAATTATTGTGTATTATATATGGCCTATGACCAACAAATATATATGGAACAGATATGTGCCAATACCTACCACTGAGTACCTACCTAATTGCACTTCAAATAATCCATTAGTTTATCTATATATGTCATTTTATTTCATCCAATTAAATTTAAAGAAGACTTGTAGAGACAAGAATCCATTTATCTGAAAAATTAGTCATAAGAAATGCCATTGTAATTGTCAAAGCTGATATCTGCATCTATGTCTGTTTTCAAACTTACTTCTTTGGATGGTATGTTACCTGGAATAAAAATGAAAGGCTGGTAGAATCAGTGTCTGAGTGAATTTCCACGTGTAAACTCCTAGCTGTCTGGCCCTAATGTTCTTCCTAGGGTGACCCTAAGAATGACTCGTGGATTTTTGCCCTGGCCGTGCTTCTGAGCAGCGTGTTCGTCTACAACAGCATGGGCACCATCAACCACCAGGCCCTGGAGCAGCTGCAGTATCCTTCCAGGGACCACTCCACCATGGGTCCCGGGGTCTGGGGGATGGAGATCCATCAGCTTCTCCTTCCCTTTCACTTAGTTGCCTTTGGTGGACCAGAAGGAACCAGAGCCAAAGAGTTTTACCACATATTTTTTCTTTTAGAGAAATGTGGGAACTGTGGGTAGGACATTTCTTTTCCTTAACTAGGTCCTAGTTATGTGACAGAGCTGACAGAACTCATCAGGGCAAAGTCCTCCCCTACACCAGATGAAGGAGATGATTCCATGGAGTTTGTGAGTTTCTTTCCAGACTTTGTCTGGACTGTACGGGATTTCACCCTGGAGCTGAAGTTAAAAGGTCGCCCTATCACAGAAGATGAGTACCTGGAGAATGCCTTGAAGCTGGTTCCAGGTAACAGGGCATGACTGGGCAGTGGATGGTCCAGTGCAGGGTGGGAGGTGCTACACACTGTCTGTCATCTCTGGAGTTGCACTTGTGTTTTAAACTAGGTGAAATCTGTAGAAATGGTGGCTGGGAGATGGGTTGAAAGGCCCTAGGGACTGGAGCTTAAGTTCACTTAAGAAAAGTAGAGCTTAAAGCCCAATATAATTACTCAAAACCAATTTTTTATATATATTATAATTTAGCGTCTGACTGTAACCTAGAATACAGTGGTGCTAAAAATGTTCTAAAGACCAGACACTTGTGTTTTTATTTTGGCTTCTTCTTTTTTCTTTTGAGCAAAACAACTGACCAGATATTTGTTATACATGGAATTGCAATGAAAAACGTATTAATGAAAAAAATCCATGCAATTAGATTATTACTTTTCTGAAATAAGGATATAATTTTCATTTAAGTGTAGCTATATCATCTACAAAAAATGACTTTATATTCTAAAAAACCCAAAGCATGCATTATTTCAATGTATGTTACTGTCATATGGCTGGTATCAGAACATTCATTTTACTTTCTATATCATAGCTTTTAAATTTTTTAAATTTTAATTTTGTTTTTTTACATTATTTTATTGTTGTTTAATTACAGTTTTCTGCATTTACCCCACCACCACTCTCCCTGACCTTAGCCATCCCCACCTCCCTCCCTTGCTTCCTCTGGTTTTGTCCATGTGTCCTTTTATTTGCTCCTGAAAACTCTTCCCTCTATCATCTCTTCCTCCCCTCTGGTTACTGTCAGATTTTTCTTAATTTCAATGTCTCTGGTTATATTTTGCTTGCTCGTGTGTTTGTTGGTTAGGTTCCAGTTAAAGGCGAGATCATATGGTATTTGTCCCTCACCACCTGGCTTATTTCACTCAGCATAATGCTCTCCAGTTCCATCCATTCTGTCACAAAGGGCAGAAAAAATGAAACTCAATCACCAATTTACTTCATACACAAAAATAAATTCAAGGTGGCTAAAAGACTTACACCATAGCTTTTTAAAAATTCCCACATTTACCCATGCTATAATTTCAAAACAGGAAGTTATTTTAATGACTTATATTATGTGAGTGTAATCTGATAAAACCTTAAGAGAAATATCAATTCTGATATATTCATTCTTGTCTTCATAATTCTACTTAGGTTTTCTTAAAATATTTAATGAGAAATCGGCTAGGCAGAAGATATTGCCAAATCAAATATACTTTTTTATATTAAAGAGTTTATAGATTAATGATGACATCTTGAAACAAAACTTTAGTCACATATACTCTTTTGGTTTCTGCTACAAAGGAGCTGACACTGTGTACATTATTTTATTATCCTCCTCATAGGATACCTTTACTGACTTTTTAGAGAGAGATGATGGTGGGGGGAGGAGAAAAGGAGAGAGAGAAAGAGAGAGAAAGATTTATGTGATAGAGAAACATGGATTGGTTGCCCCCTGTATGTGCCCCAACCAAAGATACAAAACCCAGGTATTTGCTCTGACTGGAAGTCAAACCTGCTACCTTTTGGTGTACAGGACAATGCTCCAAACAACTGAGATACCCGGCCAGCCTGTACACATTATTTTTAGCATCAGGATGGTTTTCCTTAAATAATCAGGGTGTCATTCCCAATATCGTTTCTTTATGCCTTTTTTGGTTCTCTTCCTTTTGGTTCCACAGTTGAATTTCTACATGGGATCAAGTAGACAAAAAATTACATTTGACCTTTCATTTCAATGGTCATTCATTCAGTAAACCTATATCCTGTTTAAGTCTGGAGATGGCAGAAGTAGGCCTTTTTTTTTTTAACCTAAGTTAGACCTTACCCCAAGTTTCTCCCAGTTTGTATCATTCATAAGTTTGAAGTTTAAAGAAGCATTGTGTGTCTATGCTAAATGAATTATAAACATAGAAGATGACAAAGAGACACAAATCATTTTCATAAAAAGCTTTATGTGCCTTCTTCAAGACTGTTCCTGCTGTAATCTTTGGGTCTTTTTCCCCTCAGGCATGGGCTACAAAGCCCAAAAAGCCAATCTTCCCATAGAGTGCATTCGGCATTTCTTTCCAAAACGGAAGTGTTTTGTCTTTTACCGGCCAATAAATGACAACAAACTGCTAGCCAACATTGAGAATGTTCCAGAAAACCAACTGGATCCTAAATTCCAGGAACAAACCATGAATTTCTCTTCTCACATCTTCACCCACGCGAGGACCAAGATGCTCAGAAAGGGAGCCAAAGTTACTGGGAAACGTGAGTCTCCTTTTCACATACCAAGGGGCTCAGTATATGTTAAATAAATTACATGATGTGTTTTCTAGCTTTTTGTTGGATTCTATAAAAAATTTTGGGTCTAAAGGTATTCATACTCCATGAAGAAATGTGTGTATTTTATAGTAATCACAATTTTAGGAGTATACAAATTCTTATCAAAACCTACAAACTTTATCAGTCATATCTGTGGTTTATGCATATCTGAAGAAATCCTCTACAGATAAAAAAAGTTTCTAATTAGATATAAGAAAAAAACATATTTTCCTGGCTGGTGTGGCTCAGTGGATTGAGTGCCAGACTGTGAACCAAAGTGTCGCTGGTTTGACTCCCAGTCAGGGCACATGCCTGGGTTGCAGGCCAGGTCCCCCATACGGGGCACACAAGAGGCAACCACACATTGATGTTTCCCTCCCTCTCTTTTTCTATGTCTTCCCTCTCTTTTTCCTTCCCTTGTCCTATGTCTAAAAATAAAATAAATAAAATCTTAAAAAAAAAAGAACATGCTATTTTCTCAAGGTAAGTCCTATTTAATAAGTGTAATTTGCAAAAAAAAATAAAAAAAATATTTTGGGAGTTCAGAGCAGTCCAAGAATAACAACCAGCACATAAATCCTTGAAAATTCACTGGAAATGACAGAATTAGGAGTAAATATATCTGATTTGCCCAGCCTCATTTGTCTACCTAGGTAAACATTTATGCTTTTAATTTTTAAATAAGAAGTTATGTTTCTTCAGACAATCTTTAGTTAGTTAGATGATGGTAGGCATCAAATTTTGTTTAGCTCTGTAGCTGAAAGAACCATAAAAATGAAGAGTCAGTAGGACAATGAAGGTGATAATAGTAGAAGGAGGTAGAGTGGTTGTGTGTGTGTGATTCAGAAATGGAGTTTCATATATTCCAATTTGTTGAGTGATAACTTGATTTCCCCCCTTAAATTGCCTGGCTTATTAGGGCTAAAAACTTTGGTAGTGACTTATGTGGATGCCATCAACAGTGGAGCAGTGCCTTGTTTGGAGAATGCAGTGACAACTCTGGCCCAGATCGAGAACTCAGCGGCTGTGCAGAAGGCAGCCGACCACTACAGCGAGCAGATGGCCCAGCGAGTGAGGTTCCCCACAGACTCGCTCCAGGAGCTGCTGGATTTGCACGCGGCCTGTGAGAAGGAAGCCATTGAGATCTTCATGGAGAACTCCTTCAAGGATGAAGGGCAGGAGTTCCAGAAGAAGCTTGCGGTATTTGTCTTAGTACTTGTTTACTCTTTGTGGCCATTCCCTTTGAAGAATGATGCCTAAAAGTGGTTCTCTGGTTCATGGATCTAGTAGTCTGAATTCTTATGAGGGATAGAATTTCAAAGGTCTCCATTTTCTTCTTCCCTTCCACCAAACCTTAGGTACTTTATCCAAAACACGCTCTGATCTCTGAGGCATAATTGATATAGATATATTTCTGAAGTAAATGCTGCAATTGATTTCAAGCTTGCACATGATGCCCAAAAGCTACTCTTGGGATAGTTGCTTTTGGAGAACACTCCCATTCCCAGGAATAAAATCTCTCTTAACAGACCATCTCTCCAGGCTGTTTTTGACTTCTATTATTACTCCTTGTAGTAACATTGTGTCACTGAAGATAGAATCACTGAATATTACAGCAGCAAGGAACCAGAGAGATAAGAAAATGCAAATCCAAAATTTTTGATAAAGAAGCTGAAATCCAGGAAGGTTAAGATTCGTTTTCCTGCCTCATATTGAATTTTCAAGGTTGTGAGCAAATCAAGTCTCGTATTCTTATTTTGTTCCATGTTCTTTTCTTTTCTTTTCTTTTTTTAAATTCAGGACTATTTATTTAAAGCTTAATTTCTCAAGCACACCTTTTTCTTTTTTAAAAGATATTTTATTGTTTATGCTATTACAGGTGTTCCACTTTTTCTCCCCTTTATTACTTTCTGCCCTGTATCTTCCTTGCACCATCATTTCCCAACCTTAGCTCGTGTCCATGAAAGTTCTTTGGCTTCTCTATTTCCCATACTGTTTTTATCTACCCCCGTCTATTTTGTACCTACCATTTATGCTTCTTATTCCCTGTACCTTTTCACCAATTCTCCCCCACCCTCTCCATGCTGATAACCTTCCATGTGATTTCTATTTCTGTGAATCTGTTCCTGTTCTAGTTGTTTGCTTAGTTTGTTCTGTTTTTGTTTTGTTAGATTCAGTTGTTAATAGTTATGAGTTTGTTGTCATTTTACTGTTTATATTTTTATTTCTTTTTGTTAGATAAGTCCCTTTAACATTTCACATAATAAAGGCTCAGTGATGATGAATTCCTTTAACTTGAGTTTATCTGGGAAGCACTTTATCTGCCCTTCCATTTTAAATGGAAGAATAGAGTATCTAAATGCTGGATAGAGTAATCTTGGATGTATGTCCTTGCCTTTCATGACTTCAAATACTTTTTTCTAGCCCCTTTTTGCCTGTAAGGTTTCTTTTGAGAAATTAGCTGAGAGTCTAATGGAAACTTCTTTGTAGGTACATGTCTCCTTTCCTCCTCCCGCTTTCAAGATTTTCTCCTTATCTTTAATCTTGGGTAATGGAATTATGATGCGCCTTTGGTGGGTGCTTCCTTGGGTCCAACTTCTTTGGGACTCTCTGAACTCCCTGTATTTCCTAAAACTCTATTTCCTTTGCCAGATTGGGGAAGATCTCCTTCATTATGTTTTTAAATAAGTTTTCAATTTCATGCTCTTCCTCTTTTTCTTCTGGGATCCCTATGATTTGGATGTTGGAACATTTAAAGTTGTCCTAGAGATTCCTAACCGTCTCCTCGTTTTTTTGGGGGTTTTTTTTTTTTTGAGTTTTTGTTTCTTCATTGTGTTCTAGTTGAATGTTTATTTCCTCCTTCTGCTCCAAACTGTTGATTTGAGTCCCAGTTTCCTTCCCTTCATTGTTGGTTTCCTGTATATTTTGCTTTATTTCACTTTGCATAGCCTTCACTTTTTCCTCTTTTTTGTGACCGTACTCAACCATTTCTCTGAGCATACTGATTACCAGTGTTTTGAACTCTGTATCTGATAGTTGGCTATCTCTTTATCACTTAGTTGTATTTTTCCTGGAGCTTTGATCTGTTCTTTCATTTGGGCCATATTTCTTAGTCTTTGTACACCTGTTATATAGTAAAAGGTGGAGCCTCAGGTATTTGCCAGGGTGGGACAACCTACATTGCTGTTCTCTGGTGCTGTATGTGGGGGAGTAGTCTGAGAGAAAACAATGCGACTTGCTCAGCTTTTAGTCACTTCTTCCATTACCCATAAGCAAGTTGGGCCCTTCTGGTGCTGATTCCTGAGTGGGTAGTTTTGTGTATGTTTGAGGACCCTGTGGGTCTCTCCAATGAACTCTCCTTTGAGGCTGGGAGTTTCTCCCACCACTGCAACCCCACAGGTTTTTTCAGTCAGAGGTTTTGAGGGTTTATTTCCCTATACTGGAACCCTTGGTTGCATGGTCCATCTCACTCTCCAGTTGTTCCTCCTGGTTTATCTATACACAAATGTGGGTCTGCATGGTCCACCATCTGCCACCTTGCCCAGTCCTCCAGTGTCCACCTGACCAGGAGACCTCACCACCATGGCTGCCCTTCTCTACCCCTTCTACCTGTCTGGATGAATATTTCTTCTTTAACTCCTTGGCTGTCGGATGTCCATACAGTTCAATTTTCTGGCGGTTCTGGTTATTTTTTGTTTTTAAATTTGTTGTTGTCCTTCCTTTGGTTGTGCAAGGAGGCAAAGTGTATAGCTACATTTCCATCTTGGCTGGTAGTTTCTTATTCCATGTTCTTCTCCAATAGAATGCTTCTTCTTGAGAACCAGAGCTAGACTTCCTTCTGCCATATTCTTTGGAATTTTATCTCTTTTGTTCCTTTCTTCTGGTGATATCCCTCTATACTTCCCTTGCAGGAAATCATAAAGGATAAGAAGGATGGTTTCATCCTGCAGAATGAAGAGGAATCTGTTAAGTACTGCCAGGCTACCCTTGATCAGCTTTCAGTGGCCCTCGTGGAAAGTATTTCAGCAGGAACTTTCTCTGTTCCTGGGGGTCACAAGCTCTACTTGGAAACAAAGGAAAGGATTGAAGGGGACTATTACAAAGTGCCCAGGAAAGGAGTGAAGGTGAGGAATATGGGAGCATGGGGGCCCTACAGATTAAAGTCAGGAGGGTCTCCTGAAAGCCTGAGAGCACAGTCCCTATTTTGAGTAACATGAAAGCATGGGGATATCATAGCTTTAGCTTTAAGGTCCATTATTTGGTCTTTCTTCCAGAGGAGAGTACAAAGTCCATTCTTAGAAATCAATATGGATTTCCAAAATCCATAATAGACAGAAGAGAAATAATCATTTTTTTCATCCAACAACATGGCATTCAATGTGCAAAGGGCAGACAATTTACAAGTCAGAGTCTTTGTATTCAAAGCTGATCCAAAGAGGAAAGGAAGTCAACCATGTAGACAATTGCATATGGGGTTATAATACTTATGAACCTGAGAAAACTGGCTACATAGGTGATCATAACACATAATGATATTAAAAAATAATAATGATGACAATGATGCACTAATATATTTTTGATTGTTACCATCATAGGCATATCTTTAAGCTCTTTCACTAGATATTTTAATTCATTCAGGAGCATTAAAAAGCAACTACACTTTTTGGGAACATTTAAGACACCTGAACTGAGAGGCAGACACAGGTTAAAATGACTTGCCTAAATTTATAGTCAGCAAATGGCAGAGGGAGGAGCAGTGTTAACTAGAGATATTCCACCCTGGGGAAGCAAATATAGATAAAAAAGCACCAGACAGTGGGTCTGTAGGACTGACCATGGTTCTCAGAGGCTGGAACCTAGAGTGTGGGAATGAAGGAGCACTGGGAGAGAGACAGGAGGGAGACAGGAGGCAGGGGGTATGGAGAACCTCTGGTCACTCTAAGGAGCCTGGACACTGTGTGTGGACCCACGATACAGTTTTAGTCATGAAGGAAAAAGTCCATGGACTTACTTGTTCTTGGTGCATTATTCTTCCCAGTGGAAATCGAAGTTCTTTGCTTCTTCTTGTTTCCTAGGCAGATAAGGTCCTCCAGAAATTCCTGCAGTCACAGGTGGCAATAGAGCAATCTATCCTGCAGGCAGACAAAGGGCTCACAGATGCACAGAAGGTCATAGCAGGTATGGGGCAGGGCAGTTTCTTGCAGTGTCCTTGACAAGTGTGAAAACAACACCTTCCCAAAACAAGGAGCTTGTGTGTGTGTGTGTGTGTGTGTGTGTGTGTGTGTGTAACAGATTCTCCAAAATCTGAAAACAACAAGGCGACATCAGCCAGTCAGGGCCCTTCCCATCACATACTGAAATCTGTTCTTGATGGTGTGGACAAAAGGGCAGTTCAGAGATTTCTTACACCACCCCCCCCTAGTTTGGTTTGGTCTCTGAGCTCAGGAGGGTAAAGATCAGACCTCACTTAGTTTTCTTGCCTCTCTCAAACCTCCCTGGGGCAGAGGAGCAGGCCAGGAAGGAGGCTGCTGAGAAGGAGCAGGAGCTGATGAAACAGAAACTGCAGGAGCAGCAGCAACAGATGGAGGCCCAGAGCAAGAGTCTCAAGGAAAACATAGCTCAGCTGAAGGAGAAGCTGGAGCAAGACAGAGAGAACATAATAAGAGAGCAGAATACGATGATGGAGCATAAACTGAAGGTAAGTCCTGCCATGGCCTCAGTAGTGCTGGAACATCATCATCCTGGGCCCTCAGGTGGGATGGAGGTTACAGCAAGACCATGGAGCAAAGCACATTTACTGCTTGGGATTTATGAGAACTTTGAATCTTTTGACAACTTCCTCTTTCTCTTCCTTTTCCACTTTTTTCTACTTCTTCCTCCCACTTCCCCTTATACTCCTCCCCATCTCTTTTCTTTCTTCTTCAAAGTTTTTGAATCTACTCTACAGGTAAACTCCGGAGAAGTCAGGACAAGCATGTTCCTTCCAATCCTTGCAGAATATAAGTAGAGTTTGAGCTGCTGTTTGGGGCAATTATTAAATGATCTCCTAAGGCCTGATTAAACAGATATTCCAATCACATGTATATCATATGAGCAGTAACTGTTTTATTTTATTAATACCACTGGCAATTATCAGGAACCTTTCTAATGTCCAAAGTCCTTGAGACAGGTCTATGCTTGCATAAAACTATCTAAAAAGTTCAATATTCAAAGCACAGGGAAGTAATAGCTTTTAAGCTTGTTGCATTGTCCCCAAATGTAGATAGGTTACTCAAGTTATTATATAGTATAGGGGGCATGCTCTGATTATCTTTCTGGACATGTTTATAACAGATTTTTGGTTGACTATATTATGCCAAGTGGGACCTAGAATTAGTGCCAGCAGACCAAGGCTTCCTCCCAATTGGTATTATTTGCCTGGAACATATTACATTTGTCCTCAAGTTAGGTTTAGCATTCTTGCAAAACCCTGATGGTACATGAGTGTTAGTTAGGCTGTGAACTATACTTCCTCTAAATGTGTGTGTCTCAGCTTAGCTACCTTTCTTGTTCCAAACATTGCTTTGATAAGGTAAGAGAGAATAATTTTAGTATAAAACAAAGAAAGTTTGGCCAAGTTCTTAAATATAAAATATATTTCTTAGAAAATTGGGGGTTATAAAAGCAGTTCTTCCTTCTTCACTATTTTTTAGGTCCAAGAACATCTGCTTAATGAAGGATTTAAAGAGAAAGCTGAAGAATTGAATGCAGAAATATATCGGTTGAAAAATATGATTGATACTACTCAAGAAAAGGATACACCCTGGATTGCAGAAGCATTAGAAAAATTTGGCAGTGAGCTCACTCTAGTATTGTCAGCTCCTGCTAAACTTGCTGGTAATATTGTGAAAGGTATAGGTGCATTACTTAAAAATGATTAGTTTTCCTTTTAAAAGAAGTATAAAGTGTGGATACATACTCTGGCATATTTTTGGTGTGTATGCTTTGTTTTGTTTTAATTCAGTCAAATTTTAAACATAAAAATTGCCTGCTAGAGAATATCAATGCCTGGTCCACTTTAGATAGAATAAATGCCTGTACACTTTGATATAGTGTGTTTACTTTTGGGAAATATACATGTGCAAATCATATATTACATACATATATATACACAAGTTGGAGCAAAAGTAGGTTTATAATTGTATTCACTTTCAAATACAATAACTAATAAATATTTAATAATACAAGAATAAAGTGTGTTTTGTGTGATTCAAAAGTGGATACAAATTTAAACCTACTTTTGCCCAACCCTGGATCTAAGAAACCCATCAAGACATCACTTTAAATGACAAAAGATTGGAAACTACAGAAATATTCAGCTCTATTAATTGGTAATATAAATTTAGCATGTACATATACTAAATTACTATGTAGCCAATAAATAAATTGAGAGTTGAGCTCTGATTTTACAAATATAGAACAATCTTGAAAATATATTATAAATGAACACACGGTGTGTTACTGTAAAAGAATATAATTACTGTGCACAGACATACATATGTATTCACTGAATGTCTCTGGAAAGATTAGAAACTATGTTCTTGGTAATTCTGGGGAGAACTGAATAGCACTGGGGTAGAAAAGAAACATGCTTTTCATTTTGTGCACTAACTCTTGAATCTTGTAAATAAAGGTATATTACCATTTCACAAACAAATAGTAAGAATATAAGTATAACAGTATTACTACTAGTAGAAGGAATGTGAAATTGGCTATTAGGTGATGAAAGTGCTCACTGTTCTAGAAGCAGTGAGGGGTCTAAAACTAAGATCAGAGTATGTGACAGCACAAAATTTGCACCCTGATCTTATTTGTGTTTTGGCCTTGGTTCTTAATCCCTTATATTTGTTCTAAAAGTAAGATATAAACTTTCAGGTTGCCCTTGGAAATCGCAGAAGAGTATCCTCTTCTTCCTACCTTTGAATTATACTCTTAAGGTGGTAGAAGCAAATTACTAACATAAAATGTGCAATCATGAGAGGGATTGTATCATCCTTCAGAGTGCAGTGGTGGGCTCTCTGCTATAGGCAAGAACAGAAGGCACATGTGCCAGGGCAAGACTGGGTGTCCTGGTAGTTCTGGAAATGATAAACCCTGACACATGAAGGCCAAGTGTTGGCATTTTAATATCAGGAGCCAGGAACATACAATGATAGTAGTGAACATCACGGTTTGTATTAGCCAGCTCAGGCTATTATACCAAGTTGCCACAGACAACAAACCTTTATTTCCCCCAGTTCCGGAGGCTGTTCATCTGAGGTCAGTGTGCCAGCATTGGTGGGTTCTTGGTAAGAGCCCTCTTCCCGATTTAAAGAGTGCTGCTCCTTTGATGTGTCTTCTCATGGTGAAAAGGGTGGGGGGAGCTCCAATGATTGCTTGCTATAAGGGCAGTAATCAGACTCATGAGGGCCCCACCCTCATTACCTAATTACCTCCCAATAGACCTACTTCCAAATATCATCACATGGGGGCCTTGGAGGTTAGGGTTTTATCAAAAATTTTTCTTTTTATAATAACTGTATTGTTCTCCATTTTTGACAGTGAGACAGACTGGGACAAGTTACTTTACAGACTGATGATGTCATGTAACCCTAGAGCACATTTAAACACTTGAAGATTATAAATAAAGTAATGGTGATTCTTGTTCTACAAATTGACTTTCACATGTTCACACATAAACTCATTACTCTATAGTTATTGTAAATGCTTGTTTTTATATTACTATTAAGTATTAGTATTGCTTAGAAAAATTTCAGAACATGGCAAAGGTAATGATTCTAATTAGATCAATATGTGACAAATGTTTACCTGTCAGACTGTCAAACAGTAATAACATTGCTTCTCTTCTTGTTTCCTTCCTGTTTTGCCTTTGCTTTTCTGTTAATAATAGCTCTTTTTCAAATCTCTCACTGGAATATCACCAAGCCTTAGTCTGTCAATATTTGCTAATCTTTCTCCAAATTCTCTTTTAATTAGGGTGTATGATTTATTTTTTTATTTAATTGTCGTTCAAGTACAGTTTTCTGTCTTTTACTCCCATCCCAGCCAAACCCCCAACCCTCCCCACCTCTCTCCCATTTCCACCCCCCTTAGTTGTCATCCATGTGTCCTTTATACTAGTTCCTGTAAATCCTTCCCCTTTTCCCCATGAAATTCCCTCCCCTCTCCCCTCTGGTCACTGTCAGCCTGTTCTCTATTTCAATGTTTTTGGTTATATTTTGCTTGCTTGTTTGTTTTGTGGTTTAGCTTCCTGTTAAAGGTGAGATCATATGGCATTTGTCTTTCAGCTCCTGGCTTATTTCACTCAGCATAACGTTCTTCATTTCCTTCCATGCTGTTGCAAAGGGTAGAAGCTCCTTCTTTCTTTCTGCTGCATAGAATTCCATTGTGTAAATGTAAATTCTATTGTGTTTTTGGATCCATTCATTTACTGATGGGCACCTAGGTTGCTTCCAACTCTTGGCTATTGTAAATTGTGCTGCTATGAACATTGGGGTGCTTATCAAAAAAATTTTAAGGGAATACAACATCCACTTCAAAGCATAGTTGGAGTTACAGCAAGCTGGGCCTGGCCAGAAAGAATTTTGAAATGGTGAATATAACAGGGCATCTGTAGGGTCAGAGGGTTGGAGAAAAAACAACCAAATGAAATCTAGGTGTCATTGGGATGCTGAGTGGTAGTCAGGACAAAATGTCACAACCCCTAACCTTAATCTGAGCCAATTTGGGATTCTGAACCTGTCTCTTGGAGGACAGGACATCTCAAGACAAAGGGCCCTGCAACCTTGGGACAAGGAATAATAATAATAATTTCCCCAGTCCTTCTCTCAGGAGACCTCTGCCCATTTCCTTGGTACCTGTGTCCTAAGGAAGTGGGAATGACTAAACAATTTGAGCACTTGGAATCAGAATCCAAGTTGGCAGTGATATGAGAAAGACATCACAGTCTCCCTGTTAAAGCAGAGGCACATGGTATTCACATAATAAGTACCGTCTTGGCCCACGTGCAACTGATTGGTGTTTTGTATTTGTCTTCAAACAAAAGGGAAGTTCATCTGCTGACAGGAACCATTACATGTACATATTTCTGCATATCTCCTTGGAGCATGTTTAGGTGTAGAATGTCCAAAGGCGTCTTCTGGGGAGGAAAAGGTTGACACATGTGTGAATGTTTTTACTAGAATTCCATGAGCACATCAAATATTTAAGGCAATGGTTACTTTGGATTTTTTTTATATTTGATTAAGATCTCTAAGGTAATCTAAAGTTTAGCAGAACAAAAACCTTTTTCTGGTGTAGTTTGCTCTCTGTTGACCTTGTGTCCCATAGTCCCTGTGCCTCTGTCAAGATGTTAACACACCTACAAAGCAGATTTTAAGCTTCTCCACTAAGCTGTGACCTCGAATGTTCAAAAGAAAGAATGACTTTGCTTGTTAAGAAAGAAATCATACAGTAATGAATATGTTACCAATAAATAGGGTTTAATGGAAGAGAAAACTATTTTATAGAAATGTCTATTCTCTTTGAGAGCTTGAATTGATGTTCTAATCCTGAGAGACACCCTTGATTGAAGAGCAAAAATAAAAGGCTTGACTACTTTAGATTCCACATGTAAGTGATATCACACAGTACTTATTTTTTTTCTGTCTGACTTATCTCACTTACCATAATGTACTCAAGATCCATCCATGCTCTTTCTCGCGGCTGAATAATATTTCATTGTGTATATATACCATATATATTTTATCCATTCCAAGTTAAGTGTTGCTGGGCACTTAACTTATTTCAATATCTTGGCTATTGTGAATGATTCTGGAATAAACATATAAATGTATATTATCTCTTTGAAACATTATTTTCATTTCTGTTCAATAAAAATTAAAAAAACTCCAACATGTTTTGATCACTTCAAAACCAATGAAGGGCTCTCAAAAATAGTTAACGTGTTATTCACACATCTACTCTCATATTTACCAAAGAGTAGTTCGTTTCAATTATTTGCACTGTTTGCTAGATTCTCACTTTTCACCTGCTTTTGTTCTGTATTATATGAAGGGAAAAAGGCAAAAATCATGTCCTTGTGAAGTTTATAATCAATCTATGGATACCTTAAAAAAAGTAAAAATAAATAACTTTATTTTAGGGAGGAATAAATGCTGTGAATATATATTTCTGCAGTGGAAAGTGATTACAGCTCAGAATAGAAACCAATAGTAATTCTTTAGGTTTATCTTCAGTCTAATTCTTTTTTAAAGTATATGTTATTGATTATGCTATTACAGTTATACAATTTTTTTCTCACCCTTATTCCCCTCTGCCATGCACACCTCCTCCATCCAGCATTCCTCCTCTCATTAGTTCATGTCCATGGGTTGTACATATAAGTTCTCTGGCTTCTTCATTTCCTATACTATTCTTAACCTGCCCTGTCTATTTTGTGCCTGCCAATTATGCTTCTTACTCCCTGTACCTTTTTCCCCCTTCTCTTCCCTCCCTGCTAATAACCCTCCATGTGATGATCTCCATTTCTGTTTCTGTTTCTGTTTTAGTTGTTTGGTTAGTTTGCTTTTGTTTTTGTTGTTTTTAGGTTCAGTTGTTGATAGTTGTAAGTTTGTTGTTGTTTTACTGTTCACAGTTTTGATCTTTTTCTTAAATAAGTTCCTTTAACATTTCATATAATAAGGGCTTGGTGATGATGAAGTCCTTTAATTTTACCTTATCTGGGAAGCACTTTATCTGCCCTTCCATTCTAAATATAGCTTTGCTCGATAGAGTAATCTAGGTTTTAGGTCCTTGCTAATTCTAACTATGTGGAAATAGGATTGCTTGTTTCTTGAGGAAATATTCATTATTGAATTGTAAGGACCAAAATCATGACATTAAAACACAATAAATCTCAGGGTGTTTAGTGATTGAAAGAATAAAT